GTGCCTGGCTATGCGTCTGGAAGATGCGAGGCAATTCCTTTCCAGTGGGGCCCTCGCACAAGTGGCAGGCACAACTTTGCGGGTCTTTCAAGGAAGGCGCGTCTCGTAGCGAAGAAGAAACAAATGACTTGCAAGAACGCAAGAGGAGTCATGGGACCATAGGACCGGAGGGTGTATTGCAGCATTGTCTATGGATCGTTGCTCTACTGTGGTCCTCCTCCTCCTCCTCATCCACCTCCTCCTCCTCCCCTCCTCCCCATCCCATCCTCCGCGGAGGAGGGGAGGAGGCCAGGGAAGGGGAGCATGAGGAGAAGGAGGAGGACGAGGAGCGCGAAGGGTAGCGGAAGCAGGAGGACGTGCGAGGAGGTGGTGGCGATTCTCTCCACTTCGTCGTGTTCCTCGCTCTCCTCGCTCCTCCACGACCCTCATCCTGCCCTCCGCCTCCATCTTGATCCTCGATCCTTCTCCTCCTCGACCCTCATCGACGATCGATCCTCCTCGATCCTTGATCGTCATCCTCCTCTTCCTCTTCTTCCTCCTCCTCCTCGATCCTTCTAGAGCCTGCGTCCTCGGTTCTCCTCCTCCTCGTCCTCCTCTTCCTCGCTCCCCAACGGGAGGCGGAGGGCGGGGAGGGGGGGGGGTCGGAGCGGCGAGGGGACCAGGAACGAGCGAGGACAGCTCCGAGGAGGAAGGGCGGCGTGCCAAAAAGGGGGGGGGCACGAGGGCCTGGCCAGCCCCCCCCCGAGAGCCTCCCTCCTGCCCCCTCCTCCGCGCGAGGGCCCCGCGTCCTCCCTCCTCCCCCCGTCCTCCCCCCTCCTCCTCCTCCCTCTCGCCGCCCCCCTGGGCCGCACCAAACACCTTCCAAACAAACGTCCTGACGGAATGCGCTTTGAAAGGTTGTCGGAAGGAGCGTTGGAAGGGGTCCCAGAAGGCGTCCGGAAAGTCCACCCCCCAGGAAGGTTGTTGGAATGTGTTTGGGAGGTTGCTTGGCGGGTCGTTGGAAGGTGTTCTCAATGCATTGGGCGCCCTCGCAAAACGTGGACAAGTGTTTTGGGAGATGTTTGGGAGATATGTTGGAAGGATGCTGGAAGGTTCGTGGGAGGTGCGCGGGGGTTTGTTTTGTGGGGGAGCGTTTTCAAGAAGCCCTCCAGTAACCTTCCTCAGACAGCCTTTTAAAAGGCTTCCTGCAACAAAGACCTTCCAACCACGACTGTCTTGAGGAAGTTGTTCTAAAATGTGTATTCCAGACCCTTTACAACGACATTCCTCAGGGCGGTTTCCTGGAGGGCTCTCTTCTCCAATAATCCTTCTGGATGACAATGTTTGGCAGGTTTCTCCCAAGCACCTCCCAAACACCTCCCAGATACCTTCCACGACACATCCAAACACATTCAGACATAAGACAAAACAGGCAACCAACACCTTGCCAAACATTGACCAGACCGTCCAAAACATTCAGAAAACCTTCCGAAGCCGTCCGACAAACCTCCCAAGGACATTCCAAACGCCTTCCACATACGTTCCAACAAGCTTTGAAAATGCCTTCTCACAACCACCCGAACCACCTACTACAAAAAGCCGTAAAGCAAAACCTTGCCCAGGAAGGTTGGTGGACGTTTTTTTTGGGGGGGGGAGTCACTTCAAACACAGTCCTGAGGAATGCTGCTGGGCTGTGCTTGGAAGGTGTTCTGAAAAAATGGTGTGGAAAGTGCTTGAAAGGGTTTTTGTTGGGGGTTGTTGTGGGCCGTGGAAGGTGTTGGAGGGATGCTGGAAGGTTTGTTGGAAGGCGTGATTGGACGGTTTTTGGAAGGTTGTCTGACTGAATTCGGCGGTCTCGCTTAACGTTAAAAGAATGTTGGAAGATTATTGGACAAGTGCTTGAGAAGTGTCGGGGGGGCTCGCGGGCGGTTGTGGACGACGCCCTCCAACACTTCCTTCGGGAAGGTGTTCGGGGGGTCTTCTTGAGGAAACCCTCCAAGCACCTTCCCAAAGTAGGTTCTTGAACAGTGTCTGAAAGAAACCTGCTGCAAACCACCCCCAGGAAGGTTTTTGGAAGGTTTCAGAGGGGGTGGCCGAACTGCTGCGCCCAACAGAGGGAGGGCTCCCCCGCTCGAGACTTCCTTCCTCTGAATACACTCGCAGACGAGGCCTCTGCTCACGCCTTCGCAATCTGCCACAATGCGGAACGCTCAAGTGCTATGCCTCCTACTGGAGGCCGATGACCCGCTCGGATTACCAACGTGACGCGGGGGGCCCATGAAGCGGAGGGCCCCCGCTCAAGACTTCCCCGCGATACACCTGCAAACGGTCAAACGAAGCCCCGCTCTACACGTCCCGACGATTTGCCCCCTTGGGGAGCTCAAGTGATGGGCGCCTGCTGCAACGAGCCGATGGCCCGTTCGGATAACCAACATGAGGCGGGGGCCCATGGAGAGAGGGCCCACGCGTCGCCATTCACTCGCAAATCAGGCCCCCGCGCAAGACGTTCTGAACGAACCTGTATGTTGCTGTTGCAGGGCACCCCGATGTACCAACATGAGGGGCCCCCGCTCGAGACTTCCTCGCGAGTCACTCGCAGAAGAGGCTCCAGCCTACAACTTCTGCAGGATTGATGCGCGAGCGCGTGAACAAGTGGACGCGCATGTTCCAGTACGCGAGGTGATGGTAATGATGATGGCAATGACGATCGGGGCCTTCGTCGGACACGAGGTTTGCCAGGCGAACCCGCCTGGCCGCGGCCGAATGGGGCGCAAATGCCACGCGCGCAAGCCTGCGTGGCTCAGCACAACTGCCTGCCTGAGCCCACGGCCCACGCGGAGGCGATCCTGGCCAGCGCAGGCGAAAGAGAAAATACCGTCGCGCCAGCCCTCCTCACAAGCACGAATGGTCGCGCCTGCGCGCCAGCGCAGAGGCCGACGCGCGCCATCAGTTCAACGCACGGCCTGCTGGAAGGCAAACGCGGAGGCGGTGCGCGCGGAACGCAGCACAGACACCCCCCCGTGCCAGCAGTAGGCCCGCTCTTCGGCTCGTGAGAAACAATGGGGGCTCCTGTTTTCGCGGCTGTCAGCGCATACCTTGTCCCCCCGACCCCCTGCCACCAGCGGGCCCCGTCTGTGGCACCTGGGGAGCAGGGGGGCGCCCTTTCTTCCGCGGCTCCCGATGCAGCTTTTCACTGGGGGAGAGGTGGGGGAGAGGGGGCGGGAAAATAGGGCTGCGTGCGCGGCTGGCGTTCGCTCGGAGGCTCGCCCTCGGAGCCGAGCGCTGCCGGCGCTGAGACTCATGTGCGGCCAGGCCGATGCACGCGCCTTTTGCGACGCCCTCGCCGGCAACGCGCACCAAAACCACGAAGGCGCCGCGCGCGAAGATGCGGGGGGGGGCGAACGACGAAACCGCCGAACGCCCAGGTGCCCATATCCAACATCGCCGCCGAAGCCGCTCCACGACCACAAAAGAGCATCAAATCCACGATGGCCTCGATACGCCGGCGCGCGACGCTCCTGGCGTGGGGCAACAAACCGACAGCATGACGCGCCAGCGTGAAAAACCCGACGGGGGTCGCCGAAAAGCACTTCGAAAAGGTCCGCGCAACAAAAAGACCCCGCCATCCTCGCGTTCGATACGCAGCGCAGGGCGAAGTGGGCGCTGTACCGCGGCAGCGCGACGCCAGCCTCAGCGTCCGCGCCGACTGCGCTGGCAGGGCTGGGCCGCGCGACAAGCGCCAAATGGGCCGTGCCCGGCACCTCGCCCACGAACTCGCCGAAAAAGGACACGACACGATGACAGCGGTACCCAGGCTCGCGACGCTGCCATCTGCGAGCACGGCTGCGCCCATGAGCATGAAAACCGCGGTCGGTTAGACCAGCGCGAGGCGCCACGTTGCAAACGCACGGCAGCAAACCCGCGCGCTGCATCGGCCCAGCAGCATCCGAACGCGGCCCCGCGCGCGCGCCCCTCGCAGCCACGGCCGCCCCCAGGCGGGGAAAGGCGCCCTGCATCGATGGACAATCCATCGGCCGCCGGCTGCGAGTGTGCCCGCCGCGCGGCCTGCGCCAGACCGTCCTTCGCCCAAACCTCCACGACGGGCGGGGCCACCAGCTGGCGCGCGCCGCGGCGAATCGCCGCACGCCGTGCGCGCGCGGCGGAGCGCGGCGGCGCACCTCCGCACCTGGCAGCATGGCGCGGCGAAGTGCCTGCACCAGGCGCGGCGGCACGAGCAAGGAGGCCACGCTGGAGGCCACCCCAATGATGATGATGATGATGATGATGATGATGATGATGATGATGGTGGTGGTGGTGGTGGTGATGATGATGATGATGATGGTGGTGGTGGTGATGATGATGATGATGATGATGGTGATGAGGATGATGCGACGACGACGGCGATGACGATGATGATGATGATGATGCTGAAAATGGTGGCTTACGAACCTCGAGGGCGCGATTTGTCGCTGCCTGAATGAAGGGAGCTTCTGCGTGTCTTTCGATAAATACGTGCCACGTCATAACACCTACCCAGAACAGGGCTCTTCAAGATGTGCGGCGCGGCAGCGGAGATTCCCAGCTCGGACGGGGTTCGCGCCGAACTCCAGAAGAAGTTGCCGGCATTGGGCCTGCCCCGAGACAGGAAAAATGCGATCGGCACGACTGGTATCATCAAGGGGCACGGCACGGATCGCAACGCCCGACGTCGCGAGACCACCGTGGGAATCGGCGCGACCAGTGTCGGTCAAAGTCTGGGCACGAGCGTCCGCGCCAAGTATATCTGCGCGGCCGCCCCCGTCACGTGGCGCCCAAAACTCACCGCCGTCATGAAGGCACAGAACGAAGCCGCAAAAAAACGCCCCGCCGTCGTTAGGAAGATGCGTACGGAACGACCCCTCGGTCACGGCAGTCATCTGGTCATACAAGCCCTGGAGAAACGGTCGGGAAGCAGCAGGAACAGGTAGATCCGCACGAGCCAGCGGACCGCACGAACAGGTAAATCTGCACGACCTGGTCAGTCACCACGAAAGGTCGATCAGGTAGACCTGCGCGAAAAAGAAACTCTGCGCGAGCAGGTAGATCTGAACGGACAGGAGTGCCCAGACGAACAGGTAGATCTGCACGGACAGGTAAGTCAACTCGAACAGGTAGACCGGGTAGATCAGGGGAAAAAACATGTAGATGTGAAGGGACAAGTAGATGTGCACGAACAGGTAGATCGGGACGGACAGGTAGATCTGCACGCAAAAGCTGATCGGGAGGAGCTGCGCGAACAGGTGGGTATCCACGAACAGGAGGAGCTGCACCAGGTATATTTGCACGAACAGCCTCATCACCAAGCGCGCGAAACTCGCCACCATCATGAAGACGAAGAACAGGGCCGCCCAGAGACGCCCCTCCCTGCCGCCAGGAAGATGCGCACGAAACGACTCCTCGATGACGGCCGCCACCTCGCCCAGCAAATCGTGGAGGAAGGGTCGGGCAACAGCAAGAACAGGTATATGTGCACGAACAAGGGGATCCGCACGAACAGCTAGATCTGCACGGACACATATCAGCACAAGCAAATGGAGCAGGTACATCGTCGCGAACAAATAGATCTGCACGGACATTTAGCTCTTCAGGAACAAGTAGTTCTGCACGAATAGGTGGGACCGATCCGACTGACTCGACCCCATGAGCGGGGAATAGTTCCGCCGCCAACACGCTGACGGGGCGTCGGGAGAGGCAGTAGCAAGTCACGGTCAGGGGACAGTCCATTACGTCGCGGAGCCTTCGCCACGTCGCCCACAGAAGACTATGGGTCACGGCCGCCACTCTACGGATCGTCGCCATCAGGACAGCCACTACAACCACGACGCCGCCCTCCAACACCTCGGTGATGCCCATGAACATCATCACCCCTCCGCTGTCACCAGTCACCAGCATCCCAGGGGCGGCGCAGGTTGGTGGCCGTGCTCTGAACTTGATGCTGAGCTGTGAACTGCCATCACAAAGTGCCTAAGGCCATGGCCCACCGTGCTGCAGCCAGGCTCCGTGCTGATGGGGTGACGGAGCACGGCCACCCACGCATCCTGAGCGCCCCCGCGCAAGTGGTGCACAGGCCCCAACTTCACGTTGAGGCGCATTCCCTCGGGCACGACCTGAGGAGGAGGAGGAGGAGGAGGACGAGCCTGGCCCAGGAGCAACGCCGGACGGGCGAGCACCACCATCCCGCGCGGCCCGTGGCGGAGCGCGGCCCGCGAAGGGGGGACGAAAGGGAGGGGGAGCGCAGGTGCGCTCGGGAGGCCGCGCGAGGCGCAACAGCACCTGAATGGCTCGTGATGCCGATGCTGATGTTGATGCTGGTGCTGGTGCTGCTGCTGCTGATGATGATGCTGATGCTGATGCTGCTGCTGATGATGCTGCTGCTGATGATGCTGCTGATGATGGTGGCAATGATGACGATGGTGATGGTGATGATGATGCTGCTGGTGGTGCTGATGCAGATGATCCTGTTGGTCATGGTGCTGTTGTTGATGAGGGTGCACATGTTGATGATCATGATGCTGATTACGATGTTGATGGCGAAAATGATGACGATGATGATAATGTTAGCGGTGAAGGTGATTTGTGCTGATGGTGATGGTGAACATGATAGTGATAACGACGATAACGATGATAATGCTATGATAGTGATGGTGTTGGTGACGGAGACGATGATGATGATGATGCTGATGATGATGCCGATGATGATGCTGATGCTGCTGTTGATGCCGAGGCTGATGACTATGATGATGATGATGATGATGATGATGATGATGATGATGATGATGATGCTGCTGGTGGTGGTGATGATGATGGATGTGGATGGAGAGAAGTAGAGGGTGAGGTGTTTGTCCTGCGCGGGTACATCCAGAGAAAACACGAACCCAACTTGGGATGCTAGAACAACAAAAGAACGAACAAACCCTGCCACAGCCAGAAAGAACCCGTGCCCCTACAAGGGAAGCAGGCGTACCTGCCGCGCGCAAGCCCTCTACAAAGGTCGCCGGATGCAGCTCAGTGCCGAGCTCGGCCCAGAGATGAAACTCTCACACGATTCGCGCTATACAGCGCCAAGCGTGATGTGGAGAGTCCCGCTCAGTCACCTGCCACGCCAGACCAGCAAATATACTGACAACGCTTGCGCTCCCGTTCGCAAATGGGAGAAGGTCCCGCTGTGTCTTCCATGTTTCCGCCAACATTCCACGAGGCACGAGCTGGAGTGCCCTCAGGTCCCTTGTAGTCCTCAGTCCTCAGACTTCAAGATTGCACATTAAGGAGCCTGGACCCCCAAATCTCAAACTCCCCCGGGTTCTTCGCGTGCCTACCGAGGTTCCCAGGCGCCTCCAACATGACCCGTTCGGAGCCACGAGCGCCCCAAAAGGGGCCAAGACGGCCCCGAGCGGCCTCCGACCTACAACCCAGGCACCGAGGCGGGATGGGCCGAAGGTCAGTAGATCCGCCGCCCCTGTTGGTCTTGCCACGGGTGCAGGGCGTGCCAGACGTTAGGCTGTTTGGGTCCGGTTCAAGGGGTCACGGCCTTTACGATGCTCCCAAGAGAGCCCAAGATCCACGAGCTCTAAGATGTTTCTAAAACGGGCCGAGATGCCTCATGGATGACGCAAAATGACTGCAAGATAGCCAACGAAGGCCCAAGAGGCCTCCAAGAGGATCTCCAGGACGACCCGAAGAGGCCCAAATTAGTGATTGTCCTTGCTTTCCAGCGGCCCAAGGACGGCCCCGGAGGCCACCTAGATGATCGCAAGAGCGCCCAAGATGCCTCCGAGATGGCCCCCCAACGGCCAAAGATCTCCCCCAGACTGCCCCAAGAGAGCCCCAAGACGGCCCAGGACACCTCCAAGACGCGCAAGGTGGCCTCCAAGACGGCCCTGACGCGGCCAAAGAGGCCTCAAGTCGGCCCCCAAGACGGCTACCGACGGGGTCAGACGGGCCAGGAACGCCCTCAGATGGCCAAAGAGCCTCCCAAGGAGCCTCCAAAGACCCCCCCCCAAGACAGGCCTCCAAGAGGCCACCAGGAAGCTCCCAGCGCGCCCTAAGAGTGTTCCTCCTCCTTCTGCTCCATTTTTCTTTCTCCCAGTTTCCTCTTCTTCTTCTTATTATTCTTCTTATTTTTCTTCCTCTCTCCCTTTGTATTCCCCAGAAGGTTTTCATAACTGCTCGGGGAACACATGATCAGATAGTTCCGAGAACTTAGTCGAGCTATGGCCGACACGTTCGGCCACATCGGCGATTCCAAAAGGCAGGGGGCGGCGGTGACTCGCCGCAGGCATCTTCGATTAACAGCCCTTACGCTCACGGTGTGCCTTGCATGCTTCGCCATGGGCGGGTCGAGGGGTGGGAGGTCGTCCATAAGGGACAGGGGTGCGAGCACGGCCATGCGCACCTTCAGGTAGCATGTCCAAGGATCGTGGCCGTCCACACCACAAAAAAAAAGCCGGCATTGGAGCGAGAACACGGCTCCCGAGCGAACCGTGACAGGGCCTCGTGCGCAACGGCTGCCAGACCACCCGTGGACTGGGCGGTCTCGGGGGGCGGCCTCGGGCTCCCCGTCCCCCCTGTGGGACTCTCCTGTTGCGCTTGCCGCTTGCCCACCGGAACCACCCTGTGAGCGCAGAGCTGCCAAGAGAAGGGCCAACCGAGCCGACTGCGAAACCGACAGCGACCGAGGCCGACAGGCCGCAGGCAGCCCAGGGCGGCCCGGAGGGGCGCGGCCGCGCAGGAGCGGCGCGCGCAGCCGAGCGCACTGAACCGACCGAACGCAACCGACCGCGACGCAGCCGAAACAACTGAGCCGTGGACACCCTTCGAACCCAACGCCTTTCAAGAAGGACTGGTCGCCCCCGGCGTCGCCTCCAGAGACCTCCCGCGGCGGCCTCCTCGGCGGTCTCCGAGGTCCTCCAGGGAGGCCTCCGGCGAGGCCGCCCCGGCGATACGCTATGCCCTGCGAGTGGAGTGGATGGCGTGTCGCTCTGCTCCGCGGGGCGGGAGGCTCGGGAAGGGGCGGGGCGTTGGCGCTTGCGGACGCGGACGTGCCAGAACCTGTGGAGTGACGCACTATCCCTAAGTTCCCGCACTCATTCCCATTTATTAGACGAACGCGTTCCACTACTCGCAAATTAACTACTCGCAAATAGCCTGGATCTGCCGCTGGGGATCGACGATAAATTACATAGATGCAGACATGAGTTTTCTGACGTTTGCGAGTACGTAGGCACTTTGCGAGAGGTGGAACGCGCTCGGTGATATATGGAGGACAGAAATCCGAACGAGCGACCGATGCCCCCACCCCACCCAGCCCTGCTCTCCCCCTGCCTGCTCTGTGCGCAGCGAGTGCGGGAAGCGCGCGCCACGAGGGGGCACAGCGAGACAAGGAGGAGAGAGAGAGAGAGAGAGAGAGAGCGACATACAGACAGACAGAGAAAGAGAGAGAGACAAAGAGAGACAAAGAGAGACAGAGAGAGACAAAGAGAGAGAGAGAGAGAGAGAGAGACAATGTCGGCACACCGCTCACACGAATCACGCCCCACAGGCAGCTTCACCTGTAGCCCCAGTGGAGAAACTCGCATGGCGCCGCCGCCCAGATGCTGGCACACCTCGCACGCAGATCGCGGCCCATAAAGAGCTCCACTTCTGGCCCTGGTTGGTGCGTCCGCATGGCGTCCCCGCGCCCGATTTCGGCACATTCCTCACTCAGATCGTGCCCAGCCTGGCGCTCCACCTATGGCCCCAGCAGGTGCGACCTATGGCTTCCCCGCGCCGAAGTTTCGCACACCCTTCGTGCCCCATAGGCAGCTCAACCTATGGCCCCATTGTGTGCGTCCGCATGGCTCCCCCGCGCAATGTCGGCACATCCCTCACGTGGATCGTGCCTCACAGGGAGGTCCACATGTGGCCTCAGTTGAGGAACCCACATGGCGTCTCACCGCGCCCATGTCGGCACATCCTTCTCGCGGATCGTTGCTCATAGGAAGCTTCACCGATAGCCCCAGTGGAGGAACTCACATGGCGCCGCCGCCCAGGTGCTGGCACACCTGTCACGCAGATCGTGGTCCATGGGGAGCTCAGCTCCACTTCTGGCCCCAGTTGGTGCGTCCGCATGGCGTCCCCGCGCTCAATTTCGCCACACACACACACACACACCTCACGGGGATCGTCGGGACCTCCACTTCTGGCCCCAGCGTGTGCGTTCGCATGGCGTCCCAGTGCCAGCTCCGGCACAACCCTCAGACAGATCGTGCCCAAAAGGGAGCTTCACAGTAGAGCTCCAGACACCTCTCACACGAATCGTGCGCCGAGGGGAGCTCCACCTACGGCCGTCCTACAATAAGGGCGCTCACGTGCGCCCATCCGCCTATTTCGGAAAATTCGTCACGCGGATCGTGCCCCACAGGAACCCAAAATCCATCCATCATGCGGCGCGTAGGATGTGAGGATCGGGCCACGCCTTCCGCTACACGCAACCACATGAATCGGGCCCGAACTTCTGGATATTTTTAGGCGCTAGGCTCTATTTCGCGGTCCTGGTTCTTGGTGCGTGATCGGCTCTCTAGTGCTCTGCCCGCCCTTC